ATAATAAAATATAACTTAAAGAGCTATGCGATAATATAAGAGTATTTGAGAGAAGTTGAGAGGATTTGGTGTGATGAAAGTAATTGAGAATGAATGTATTTATAGGGAGGGAATGAGAGTGTGAACGGGCGGGGTGATTGCGAAATTAAAGCAAAGACGCGATTCAGGGGCACGCCTTTTTGACACGTGTCAGAATTAAAGCAAAGACGCGGCCCATGCACCGCGCTATACCCCTACGTGGCATAAGGCGCGGCGGGTATCCATGTCCGCATAAGACGCGCTTCAGGGGGGGCGCCTTGCCCCACGTGGCGCCAGATCAGCGTAAGGCGCGCTTAAAGGGGGCGTCTTTCTGCAAAGGGTGTTAGATCAGTAAATAAAGATGACAATAATTAAATAGATAATTGTTATTTCTAAAATTTTAAGTTTAAATACGATATAATGTTAAATATTTTGAAATCATGATTGCTATATGTTAATAAAAAAGGGTGATGGGTGCATGTGTGTGACAATCAAAAGGAATGCAACCCAGCTGCCCATTTCTGCTCCCATATCCTATTCTTCATTACTTCTTTCATATATGCCTTTGTTTGTTTAATATCAAAATAGTTTTTCATGGAATTCAAGCTTCGAAATAACTTAGATGATCAAAACTTGGATCGTCATATAAAATTTGATATTTCATTTATTTTTTGGCATAACAATCATTTATATCTTTATCAATTCGATTATATTTTTCAGTTAAATTTGATTATCAAACTCTAATTTTAATTGAAATATTTATTAAACCGTTACTTTTTTATCGTGCTGATATGATAACTAGTATAGTAATCGACATGAATTTTATTATTGATATAACTTCATGTTAAAAAATGATTTTAAGATTATAAAAAAGAAAAATAAATTAATGTAAAATAATATAAGATAATATAAACCATTACATTAATAAAATAAAACATGTATATACTATTATAAAAATTATCACATGAAAAAGTTAATGAAAATAATCCTTCATGTTAAAACTGATAAAATTAACCAGAAACTGATAATCAAAATTAATAAAAAAAAGTTAATAAAAATTAAATTGATAACTAAATTTGCTATTATAATTTTGTTCTTGAGATACATTTTGTAGAAAGATAAAAATGTAAAGACAACTCACATATAAAACTCAATCCAATAATTGTTACATTAGACAGTTATTTTTACCAAGCTTTAGACATTTCCATGGTTTTTGTCTAATAAGGCCTCCTTGGTAGAGCTTGGATTGGAAATGATGAATCTAATCTTTAGCATTTAGATCACACACGAACTAGATGAATCATGAAAAGGACTTGAAATTCCGCGCGGAAATAAATATGGCTACTCGTTAGCTTTTTCTTAAAAAAAAATAAGAGGCATTTTTACTTAAATATCACCCGTACATCTAATAATTACCTGTAAGACACCCTTTGTCCTAATATTACTAATCTAGCACCCTATCTGACAAAGCGCGGATCGCCATCCACACCTTCGCTGGGTTCTATCCGAGCTGGCGCCACGTCAAGAAATCCACGCCTTCGCGGGATTTATGACACGTACGTAAGGCGCAGATAATGATCAACGTCTTTCCTTTAATAACCCAACCGTCCACATCCCACATTTATGGAATCCGTCTACCCTCTTCCCCCAAACACAACCTCCAAACGACATTTAAATCTTAAATTCTCTCATTCTTCTGAGTATCAATCTTTTTATTAAGAAAGTAAAATATTTTTATTGTATTATAATAAATCAATAATTTATTGTTTTATTAAATAGTTTTACCTTACAACAAAATAGAAGGAATTGATAAAAGCAAAAATAAGCAAGTAATTTTGATGTAGTGATGTTTGCATAGAGGGTTTCTTATTTATAGGAGAGGGGAGGGTTTCTTATTTATAGGAGAGGGGAGGGTTTAAAAGTTGAGTTGCTCGAGTGGTACCAATAATGGAAGGTGCGGCGTACATGTCAGAAATCCCGAGAAGACGCGGATGGCGATCCGCACCTTTCTTGACGTGGCGCCAGCTCGGACAGAACCCCGTGAAGGCGCGAATGGCGATATGCGCTTTGTCAGAAAGGGTGCTAGATCGGTAATATTATGAAAAATGGTGTCTGGCAAGTAATTATTAAGTGTACGGGTGATATTTCGATAAAAACGACGTATAATGATAGACAAACCTCACTCAAGATAGTATATGTTTAAAACTTTATTAATCAATTGACAATGCACATGTATCTTATAAATGCAGCTACTCGAATCCAGAATCTCTAAACAAAAGAATATTTTCTTTTATCATTTTTAATAGGTTTAAAATTGTTTAGTTTAATGAACACCAATAAGGGCTTGTTTGATATACTTTGGGGTTAAGATTATCTTTAATTAATTTTCCCCTCGATAATATTTTGATTCATTAAAATATGTATTACTTACTTGAGATAATTTTACGTACTATTAACTTGTTGTATTATAAAAGATTTTATATTAATCTTATAATTAATGAAATTATTAGATTATCAATAAGTTGATATTTAGTCTTTTATTGTTTTATTTGTAATTTCAAGTTTGAGTACACAGTGAATTAACGTGCATAATATATAAGTAAATAAGTTCAAATAAATTACAATCATGATTTAAAGTTATTATAATAAGGATACAAAATTATTAAATAAATTATCTCTCGTTTTTCTAAATTCTAATTCATAATTTTAAAAGACACTAGAACGAATTCATTATGTCAAAGTGCCTAAGTAAACTATTTTTCTATTTTATTATCATTATTTTAAAATATGCGGATAATTGTAGTAAAGTGCGTAGAATAGTTCAAAAGAATCTCATATTATTTATAAAAGTTTCATTAGTTTTGGTTTAAATATAAACATTTGTTATTGGGCCTAAAGTGCAGATAGATCCCAACTGATCTATTTTCTCTTTGTGCGTGAATAAAAGAGGCTCCGTCTGTTTTTATTTTTCTTAATTTTAATTTTAATTTTTCTAACTCGTCGAGTAATCTTATCTGAAAGTCATTTGAAAGTTGTGTGAGATAACTAAGTTGGTCAAAGCATGAGATTCAGAGTTTTAACCAAATTAGATTCATCCTTTGATCTAGACCAATTCAGTTTTTTTTTTATTAAATTAGATTCATTTATCGATGTTAACAGAAAAAAATACTTTTGCTAAAGTTTAGAATTGACGTTGTACATTGAAATATATTATTAATTTAATACAATGATATATACTACTAATTAAATTGCTTTTGTTAAATAAATATTAGAAATTATAATGACATATCCTTATGATTTAGTTTTGATTTTGATGGGAATATAATAAAATCATATTTTTTTATTAAAAATTATTTTTTAAAATTATTTGTTTGGGATAAAAACGCTTGGTTTATATAGGCTTGTAATTACATCTCAACAACCATAAAAAACCAACCGCCTTTTATTAATCTAAATTTTAAATCAGAAAAATGAATTGATCCATCTTGGAGGCAACAAATAATTTGTTTAAGATCTTTTAAAAGGATTTGGAAAAAAATATATAATTCTGGTAATTATATGTAATACGATACTTACTTTTTTAGTATAATTTGACATTTAACTTTTAATGTAATTGTATACATATTTTTTCTAGTGTACTTTGATATTTATTTTTTTAATGTAGTATATACTTATTTTTTTAAACTTATTTGGATAGAATTGATCTCTAACCTTAGATTTGCCTTTCACGGATGATACTCAATGCTTACGAGATTTTTGAATAAACTCGGGATGTGATGTCTCAGTGTGTATTCCCATTGAAGGGTCTCAACACTTGGGGATGTTTTTAGTTACCATAGTCGAAGTTTTGGTTTTGTGTATATTTTTACGTGGAGAACTCTCCATATTTTCTGGGGATTGTATTTAGACGAATTTTAACTTCAGCCTCATGTCTATTATATGCAGAGGGTGCTTGACATTTTGAGGAAATTTTAAGTTGATTTGTCCGAGGCTTTTCTCTGGTCAGATGTATTAATCAGCAAAGGGCCGGTCTTCAACAGTTTTAATGTAGTATTCTTTGTGTTTCATAGGTGGACTGGCTTTCTTGTCTCTAATAGAGGTGTATGCATGCATCTGATTCGGTCAGTGATAGTGTTTTGATGTAATGTTTACGAGAGGCGTCTCTACGTAATATTAGAAGGTGATTCATCGCCCTCAAAGGTACTTCCAGCTTAATGTGCTTGAACTTCTTTCCCATAGTAAAGATAATTTGGAGGCTCATGTCCCCTTATTATGGCAAAGGTATCATTATTTGTATGACAAGAAGAAATTCCCTGTTAATTCAGTAAAGGCATCCCATATTTTCCAGATATTTAACGAATTATAAGATAACCCCTCCCGATATAAAATCATGAGTGTTAGGGAGGTAGCTTGACGCTTTCCAGGTTATTTTTATGGCGTGATTGTAAATATAACTACCTCTAGACCTTAAAGTCAGAGGAGAGTAGGTTGTACCGCCAACAACAATAAAATTAAAATTAAAATAAATTGGAGGGAACCGGCAAATCCCAGTACCAACTACCAAGTAAAACACCGGGGGGGGGGGGTTGTTGGAGAAACCGGGGTTGGCAGCAAATACATTTTGTGCACCACGTGTTACCATGATGTAAGTGATTAAAATATTATAATATATAATATAAGTGACCAAGACGTTACTTATTAAAATTAGATGACGAAAAAAGAACACTTATAGAACGAAAGCGACAATTTTAATAGGTTACCTAAAATTATATTTAACGCGTCATATAAATTTATAAAAAGAAATAATTTTGATAGGCTGCCCGTCGCTTGTAGCAAACCCACACACCTCTCAAAGTCAAACGTTGTTTTTCCTTTTTAATTCAAAGATCTTCAGCAATGAAATTTGTAATAAAAAAATCGTATTATATATTTATAAGAAATTGTTTTAAAGTTTTAACGAGTTCCTATATTTAACAATTTTCCTATTTATTTTCTCTCCGACCACCAATGGCTACTGGATCTCTGTTACTCCATTCTTCTTCTTCTTCTTCTTGCACTAAATCTTGTTGTACTTTGAGCATTCCTCAATTACGTGGGGCCAAATCTAGGACACCCAACCTCGGTTTCACCGTACACTTGGCTTCGGAAAGCAGGCCAAATGGGAGAGCTTGGGGTTGAAATCAAGAAGAAGACCGAATGATTCGGTTTCGAAGAACGGGGTGGTGCGGTGTGCGGCGGAGGGGATAGAAAGAAGGGTATTGGTCCCCGTGAATCCGCCCTGAGGATACCGGAAAGGTTCAAGGTGGTGTGTTTAATGGCTTGTGTTATGTGTTTATGTAATGCTGATCGAGTTGTGATGTCGGTTGCCGTTGTTCCGCTCGCCGATAAGCTTGGTTGGTCCAGTTCTTTCCTCGGCATTGTTCAGGTAAATTCAAAATCATCTCTTTTTTGATTGATGAAAAATTTTAATTTTGTTTAATGAAAAAATAAGAATGAAAAAGCAGAAGATGGTTGGTAGGTGAGAAAATTTGGCGGTTGTTGAGAAACTGTGGGATGCTGTGTTCAACCTTCAACAACCATACCAAATATTGGTCAAATTCTGATTTTAGTCCCGTATTATTAGCCAAAGTTGGTCAGATTCTGATTTTGGACCCTATAGTATACTAAACTTTGGGATTCAGTCTATTGATTTGGAGTTCGGAGTTGGATCTAGTCCACTATTTCTTGAGTATATATAGTTTGATATCGTAATTTGTTTTTAACTTTAAAGTTTAAATTTGATACTAAAATTATTTTATTTAATTAGATATTTAAACTTGTCTTTAAAAGTAAATTTGGTGCATAAATTTTATGATATATTTTAATATTTAAATTTGGTTACAAGATTTAATTTGATATTTAACTTTTTTTATTCAATTATATATATAAATTTGAGTTCTTAGTTTAAATTAGTACATGAATTTAGTTTTTGTCTAAATTTGCACTTAATCTTTTAAACCAATAAACCCCATTTAGACATGTAATTGGACAAAAATAAGTTTTAAGTACCAAATTAACCATTGGCATTAAACTTTATATATAATTGAAAAAAAATTAGATGTTGAATTGAACCTTGAAAATAAATTTAGCTACTAAAATGTATATTTACTCTTATTTTTTTATATAATACATTTTAATAAATCGTCATTATTTATATGTATTGGGTTCACTTATGAATTATGATAGTCAAACTTATAAATGATAATCAGGCATGTATTGGATACTAATGGATTAAAAAAAGGAGTTTGACCTACTATTTTTGGCATGATTTAATAGTTAACATTTTAAAATAAAATGCTGATATAATTTGTCTCCCCCAACAATAAAGAAACGAATCTATATTAGCAAGATATCTAGATAGGGAAGTTTCAATAAAAAAAGTAAATTAATAATCTAATTGGAATAATAAATATTATAAAATTACAATAAATCTCAACCCATCAAGTCTCAATGATTAAATGAAATATTATTCTCATTATAGATTCCGGGTTCAAGCAACTCCGTCTGCAGGGTCTATACGGGATCTTAAATGGGCTGTTTGATTTAAACTATGAACCAAGCCCGTACACATGCAATGAAAACATGTTTCTTGTTTACCGGTAAATGCTTACGAGTATGTTTTGAATTGGTTGAAGTCATCTTTCCTATGGGGATACATATTCTCTTCTGTGATTGGAGGAGCTTTGGTGGACAAATATGGAGGCAAAAGAGTGATGGCATGGGGTGTTGCCTTGTGGTCTTTGGCCACACTTCTCACTCCATGGGCTGCTAATCACTCCACCATCGCTCTCTTGGCGATTCGTGCCTTCTTCGGTCTAGCTGAAGGCGTTGCCCTTCCTTCCATGAGCACCATCTTATCAAGGTAATACCTCCATCATACTTCATATAAATTTATAGCAAACTGAACCCTGATGGACCAACAAAATGTGTTGTTTAGATGGTTTCCAGGACACGAAAGAGCTAGTGCAGTCGGGATTTCGATGGCAGGATTCCATCTCGGAAACGTTGTGGGTTTAATTTTGACACCAATCATGTTGTCAACCATTGGCATCACCGCGCCTTTCGTTCTCTTTTCGTCTCTCGGGCTGCTATGGTTGTCATCATGGGTATATAAGGTTACAAGTGATCCTAAAGATAGTTCATTCATCAGCAAATCCGAGCTAAGATCGATCCAGGCTGGGAAAAATGATCCTCCTACAACTACTGCCGACCTTCCACCTATAGGTCTCCTCTTTTCAAAGCTACCAACATGGGCAATCGTATTTGCTAATGTAACCAACAATTGGGTGAGTCTTTTCATCATATCGGAAACGCCTCATCGGCTTCATGGTTCTGTTTAACGACATAATAAAAGGTGCACTTTTCTTGTTTCAGGGATACTTTGTTGTCCTCTCATGGATGCCAGTTTATTTCAAGACTGTGAGTAGCTTTCTCATCGACTATTTTTATTTTTTAGCATCCGTGTTTGTATAATGAATTTTTCCCCAATGGACGAATGCAGGTGTTTAATGTGAACTTGAAACAAGCAGCATGGTTTAGTGCAGTTCCATGGGGGACAATGGCTGTTTCGGGTTACATCGCAGGAGCGATATCGGATTCTCTAATCAAGGCCGGATACTGTATAACATCGGTTCGAAAGATCATGCAGGTACACACACTCAAAGCTATTTAACATCTTACTTCCTTTGAAAATGTATACTGTTGATGTGCAAACTGTAAATGTAACAGTCTATAGGGTTCATCGGCCCCGGGGTGTCATTGCTCTGCTTGAATTTCGCAAAGTCACCAGAAATCGCTGCCGTATTGATGACAGCAGCCCTGAGCTTGAGTTCTTTCAGCCAGGCTGGTTTTCTTCTCAACATGCAAGTAAGTTCCATTTTTGTCCACACCAATAAATTTATCAGAAAGAATGGATTGGGCATCAAACTAAGTGTTGTTTATTTCACCAGGACATTGCACCTCAATATGCAGGATTTCTCCATGGTATGTCATAGCCAATTCTATGTAATAATAAGGCAATGATTGTGTTCATATTTGTAGTAACATGTTGTTAACGGGAATTCGGGGAACAGGCATATCAAATTCAGCAGGGACACTGGCTGCCATAATCAGCACCATCGGAACCGGCTATTTCGTACAGTGGTTAGGATCTTTTCAAGCATTCCTCTCCGTCACAGCCTGCCTCTATTTCATTACAGCCATCTTTTGGAATCTCTTTGCAACTGGGGAGCGAGTTTTCTAGTATTATCGATAGATATAAATAGATAACTGAGATTAAAATTTTGTACATTCATATCGTTTTTTAGACATAAAAATCTCAAACATCTATTTACGTCGACACAATTATACTAAATCAACGTAAAATTAAAAAAATTTATGTAGGGTGAGTGGATTTTCCTTTTATATGTATGATTTAGTATAGTTGTGTTTGCTTGTTGCAAAAGCAGTGTATTTTATTTTGATTTACATCATTCTTTGTTGTCTTGATGTATTAGAATGAATAAAGGATCTGTAAGAATTTATTTCTCTACAGGTTGCTAATTGATTTGTTCCCATGTTATTAGGATTGATTTGTATGAAACTCACTTAAAATTAATGAAATTAAATAAAAAATTATCATTTTTAAGGATTTTACTTTCTTGAATTTGAGAATTCTTGGATGTTTGTTAAAAAATCCAACAGGTTATAAACATTAGATTGAGAGGACATAAATATAAAATCAATTAAACTAAATTAAAAAATCCATAAATTTTAAGGGTTTGAGGGGTTTTCTTGAATTTGAGGATTTTGGAATGTTTGTTAAAAAGTCAACAGATTATAAACATTAGCACGTATAACTTTTAGATAGTTTGCCGACGTTTGAGAAGATATACAATATATTTTAAAATTAGCTTCATCGAACGACTATCGTAGGAAATTGGAGTATTAACATGTCAAAACTTTAGATAAATTTTCGTTGTTTGAGTAAATTTCGTGAAAAATTAATCCAATAAAAAAGAAAGATTAAAATGTAAACATTTTAATATCAACCTTTCCACAAATAATAACAGGTGATAAGCAATCAATGACAATAAAAAAGTTCAATATCTAAAATTAAAAAAAAGAACTAAAAAATAAAATTATAATATAAGAAGTTGAAAGAAAAAAATATATCAACAATTGACGATTAAAACTATATCGTTGGGACAAACTATACAAAAGTTTAGAGAAAAAGAATAAATTACAAATTTATTAATTGAATTTTATTCTCTCTTATTTTATTTATTTAAATTTATATATTAAATATTTTCAATTTACTCCTTTAACTTTATATATTAAATTTTTATGATCACTTAATCATTTTTTCTCTAATAATCTCATGACATGATATTTTAAATTATTTTTTTTTCAATTGTTGGACTTTTCTACTTTCCATATTTCGATTTTTTTCTTTCAATTTCTTTTCTTCTTTTTTTTTCAAACTATCTTATGCAACACAATTGAATCATCGCTCTTAACTAATACAATTTCATTTTTAAGAAAATAAAATAATCATAATTGTTTTCTCTTAATTAGGATTTTTTTAAATATAATAATATTTTAGTTTTTTAAATAAAATTATTAAATTATCAAAATATGATACTTGTCATTTAACATGATTATTTAACGGAAAAATAAAAAAATTATTAAATTATTAAATAAATAATATAATAAAGATTGTAACGTTAGATATTTAATTTAAAGAAAAAAATAAGTTTTGAGATTTTTTTTTATATTAAGCCTCTTTAAATTAATGTTTGTAAATTGAATATTTAAGTGAGAAAGACGCATGCTATCAGCTAAAAAGGGCATATAATTGTTGCAGAAAGAGCCTCCAAACCTACTTTGATTCCCCCCACCTCCATAGACAACGATTGTTCACCTTTTTCCCAACTCTCTTACACCTTTACTTTCTTAATTACATCAATCCACCAAAGTTTCGCCCTTTTATGACAGGGAGTGACAGGTTCCTCTAATCTAAAACAACCCCATCATTTTTCCCTCGATTTGGATTTGGGAAATCCCAGCCAAACTCTGTTTTTCTTCAACTAGTTGTTGATTTTTATCCAAAACCCACCAGTCAAATTAAGGCATGTGAGTCTTAATATACGATTAAAGAAAAATATTATCGAAAATATTATTATTTTTTTAACATTTTCAATAAAACGCTATTTAAAATATTATTTTTTTATCGAAAATGTTAATATTGTGCGCTATCTAAAATATTTAACATTTTCGATAAAATACTATCTAAAACGTTATTTTTTACCGGAAATATTAATATTAAGTTCTACCGAAAATTAATTAACGAAAAAAATATTTTTGATAAAAAAATAATGTTTTAAGTAATAATAATGTTTCCGGTAAGACATTTACTTAGTCGTATATTAAGGCTGCAGAACAACCTAACCAATTCAAGATTGGATATTTCTTGGCTTAATTTATTGTAAAGTTTCTTTTTTGTTCCTGACCAGGTGATTCAAGGTATCAACTTTCTCGATTGGCTTCTCAAGGAGATGAATTTCAGGAGCTTGGAGGAGTTTTGGGCCTATTATGTGAATCAGCACTCCAAACGATCAACAAGACGCTGCACTTTAGCGGCACGCTCGAGTATTGTGTTGTTTATATATTCTTTGTTGTTCAACTGGTGGTTCTTGGTGTTTGTGCCGATAGGTTTGCCTGGTGCAGTCATTTCTTTGTGGAAGGGAATGTCCCTGCCACTTTGGGCATCCGGTTTTGTCCTTTTTGGGTGATTTCAGGATGTTTGGATTGATGCTTACTGGGAAAATGGATAGGGAGATCAAGAGGCTTGGAAAGAGACCTATATTACACTGCTTCTAAAGGCTTCTTATGTAAAAACCTTTTTAATTCACATGATACAATTACTTGTATTTTTCATCTGTTTGCTAGGGATGCTGTGAGCAATAGTTAAAACTCTTCTTGCTGCAGAAAATGTTTAATTCACTTCTCTTGAGTTTATGATGAATAATTGAGTAGAATTCATTGTTGGTGTAGACACAATTTTGGTCAAGTTTTCATTGAGTTTAATGCTTGTGAATCACTGTTGGGTAAATCTGTGTCCTTAGATTGAAGAAAGCATCGTGGCAAAATCAACTTCAGCAGTTTGTAGTAATACATGTGGAATGTGAGGGAGAAGCCATCTGAGAAATAGAGTTCATTCTTGTCAACCATCTCCACAACAACAGTCCTTGTAGTCCTTACCCCTAACGTTGGAAGTTTAATCCGGTATTTTCCAGGACGCTCAAAGATCTGGCTTTGCTTTATGCTTCTTTCTCCTTCGTAGTTACCCGGGACTAATAATGTCGTCTGGCATTGTTTCAACACAGCATCAAGGGAGGAAATGATTGAAAAGCAATTTTCATTTGTGCATGAGATGGGGGCTTACTGTGACATTGTAGGGTGCTTGGAACCTTGAAGGATATCTATGTTTATCCACCATCTCAATCTCCACCCAGAAGCTTTTGCCTTCCTCATCACGGAAAGCTCGGGATGAATGCGTGCCATAAACTCCCTCACGGTTGTACCTGTTTGCAACCTTGTTTCTTCCTTGGTTATTTGATCTCCATGCCTGAAATAAATTACAATTTAATTAAATATAATTCTTAGCAAATGCACAAGAACTAAAATCATATATCAGGTTTTCTATCCTGCAATGAGTGGATGGTGTGGGGAAGGGGTCGAGAAGCAAAAGACATTTCCATTCATAGTTGTAACAATAAGATCTAGGTCATCACCACCATCAACATTGTCAGCTAACACCATGCTATACCTGTCGAGAATGGTCCAAATATAAGAAAAGAAACATGAAATAGCATTGGGATATGGAACCATAGGGCATCAGCACCAACTACTTATGAAGTTTCACCAATATCTACAACATCAGCACATGATGTAGGTCCATCTATCGAGTACAAATAACCATCAAAGGATGTCGTCACAATGGAGAGTCCCTTGCTTTTCTCCCCTCGTTTACTTAAGTCAAGTAGGACTTGAATCATTACTTTCTCTTGAGTTCTATACGGATATGGACGAACCACTGAACCATCCTTTCCACTCAGAACATAAATATTCCCGGATAAAGTGGGAACTACAAGATCTTTGTGTCCATCTCCATCAACATCACCAACAGCAGGACCCTGAGCAAAGAGATGATATTCAGACAAATTAATCTCAAAGTGCTTCAAACGGGTATAAATCTTGATGTGCATCGGCTCAGCACTAGTTCCTCAATTTGTTATTTAGTTCAATTTAGAGTTCAAAACCAGAGGAAAGATGCTTCAAAAATGGCTGAGATGCACCTGGGGCATGTACCAATGAACATATGTCCCTGTATAGATTGGGCCCTTTGTAGTTTGATAGAAGAAATCAAGTGAATCATAAAAATAAAGGGTGAAGTACAGCATAAATCATCGAACTATAACCAAAATATTATTTTGGTCAATAAACTTTCTCAAATTATAAAATGATCATTAAATTTTAAGATAAACTACATGGTTGTTATCCCACTTATTCTCGTGTTTCTATAGTAATCATTTATTATTATTTTTTCAAAATCATACATAAAATTATTTTTGTTTCTATTTTAGTTATTTATTATTTTTTTCAAAATCATACATAAAATTATTTTTTTGTAGATTTGATCGTTGACTTAATGAAAATAGTGATGTGACATGATACAATAATAATTTTAGTCCCAAAAGCTTACACATTCTATCAAATTGGACATAATTCAAAATAATTTAATAAATATTTAATATTTAAGAATCCTATCAATTTAGTCCTCATTTTAATTAGGGTAAACTACAAATTTAATACCTAAACTATCTTTTTTGTTCTATTTTGATACTTAAACTTTATTTTTTTTCAAAATCATACTTAACGTTGAGTTTAGTGCTGAAGTGACATGACGTGATATTTTTTAATATTTTTTAAATTTTCATGTCAATAAGAACTCATACCCTCCAGCTGAAGCTTGATTACTGGGCAAACAAGTTCTTTTTTTGGATAATTCAAATTTTATTACCCAAATAACAAGATGCTACAACCAATCAAACTACAATGGAACAATTAATAGATAAGAAACAAAAAAAAAAGATTGGTTAAGCTATATTCCAAGCATTACAAAAGGGTAAGGTTTAAACTATCAAGTCTATTAATGGATTTGCCTCTTAGTCGGATGGCTACGACCTCCTTGATATCTTTGAGTAAGGCTTCAATGTTTTTACGACGACCTGAGAAGATTCTGCAATTGCGTTCTAGCCATAAAAAATAAATGAAAGCAGACCATGAAAACTTTAATATGACAGTGATAAGTGACTTTCCTTTCCAAACAGAAATTACCCAATCTAAAAAATTGTCCCAAGAAGTAAAAGAAGAGCTCATACCATTAAGCAGCATAATAGATTTACAGAGATCAATTGCCAAAGGGCAAAGGAAGAAGATATGGTCCCGTGACTCTTGGGAGTAGTTACAATTGACGCAAACTCCTTTAGAACATATTCCTATACGTTGAAGACAATCTCTTGTAGGAAGACGATCGAGAATCGCCATCCAAGCAATAAGACTGTGCTTAGGAACATGCATTGGGAACCAAATTAATCGATGCTAAAGAACTTTCTGCTCTCGCGTACGAATTAATTCCAAAAAATCTTTGGCTTGCGAATGACCAGCAGTGAGGAAAGGGAAATATTCAGCTCTCAGTTTAAGTAACCGTTTAATGCTTCAGCTTGAAAATTCCAGAAATCTTGGTGCTTAAAAACATAGCTATTAAGCTATGCTACCCAAAGGGATCCATTACCTACAAGAATCTTCCTAATAAGATTAAAATTACAGACCTTGCACCAGTCTTTTAAATTTTTCAGACCAAGGTCTCCTTCAGACTTAGAAAGACAGATACGTGCCCAACTGACTCTGGCTCCAGTAGCCTTTTTATTAGCTCATTTCCAGAAGAAACGGGAGCAAAGCTGTTCTATTTTATTTAAGATAGAAGATGGCAGAATTAGTTGTCTACACCAGTAATTGCAGACACTATAAAGAACAATTTTAACCAATTCAAGTCTCCCTACATAGCTTAAGTTCCTACCAGACCATGATTGCATCTTTTGCTTAATTTTGGTGATTAAAGCTTCTCAATCTTTGTCAGTGAGTTTACGAGATACTAGAGGAATACTGAGATACTTAACTAGAAGAGAGCCAATTTTAAAGCTAGAAACCCGTTTGATGTTGTCCATGATATTTAAAGGAATACCCGCAACAAAGAGTTCTGATTTAGTGGAGTTAAGCTTAAGACCTGAAAATTATTGGGATTGATCAAGCACACTAAGCACTCCAACCACCGAGTCAACATTACCTTTACAAAAAATCAGGAGATCATCCGTAAAAGAAATGTGTGTGATTCCTAGTTTGATGCATTTAGGATGGTATCCTAAGAGTTTATTATTAGCAGCCAGACTGAGCATTCTAGATAAGATGTTCATAGCAAGAACAAATAAGTAAGGGGAAAGAGGATCCCCTTGTCTAAGCCCCCTAGCCCCTTTAAAATAACCAATTAAGGTCCCATTGAAAGCAATAGAATATCTGGCTTGAGTAAAACATTTTTCAATCCATGTGATAAACTGTGGAGGGAGATTAATAGCTTTAAGAACTGTAGAAATGAACCTCCAATCGAGAGAGTCAAAAGCCTTGTGAAGGTCAATTTTCATGGAGCATATTGGAGAAATAGTTTTCCTACCATATCCTTTAACCAACTCTTGAGCAAGCATGTAACACCCCAATTTAGGGGCTAAAATTAAGAAATTATAAAGTGGCGGATTTAATTGATATTTTGAAAGAAACATTGGGGATTAAATTGTAAAGTTTTAAAGTTGGCAGACCGTTTTATAAAGTGCAGGAAATTCAGTGGCTAAACCCATGATTTAACCATTTCTTATATATGATGAATTATAAGCTCCTCACCGTGCGCAGGTTTTATATTTTCCAGATTTCCCTTCTCCAACAACCCAACTTCCAACTCCGATCTACTCGCCGTCCGACCTCCAAACGACGAGCCGAAACCACCATCGTGTTCGTTGTCAATCGAGGAACAAAACCCCTCAAACCTTTCGTCGTGAATCATCGCCGTTTGTCGTGAATTTCAGTCGGAAGTATCGTCGGTAATAACTCAGTTTTAGTTGGTTTTTCATAGATTCACGACGATCGGGTCATCTGTTTACGACACCTCCCGCACCATCGTGTTCGTTGCATCGTTCCGAGTTTGCCGGTGTCATCCTTGGTCTCCGTCGATGGCGGCGCGTGAGGAGGTGAAGCGGTCAAAGTTTCCGATTTGTTGAAATCGAGCTCTCCGCCGTTCAAAATTGTGAACCGAGCTTTGTAAGTATCTCGAAATCGCTCAAAATAATTTTTAGAAATTTTTCCGGGATTTTAGCACTGTTCACGCGCCCCCACGCGCCGCCACTGCGCGTGGGGAAGAAAAAAATGACCGGTTTGACCGGTTTTGGTGCATAGTTGACCGGTTTTACCGGTCACAACCCGACCTGACCCGTTTACCCGACCCGACCCGTTTACCCGACCCGTTGACCCGACCCGACCCGTTGACTCGACCTGTTGACCCGTTGACCGTTGACCGTCGTTGACCACTGTTGACCAAAACTTTGACTGGCTTTGACCGGGCATTAAACGACCTTTGACTTCGACCGAGTATATCTATCCTGACATTTTTCGACGTTCCAAATCCGATTCCGCTGTTTGTTTTTCGAAATTAGAACCCGAATGCCTCGAAATATCCGGTCAAACCCGTTGACTTTGATTTTGACTGAAAATTCCAAATTTCCGAAAAGTCACATTTTATGCTTTCGACGTCCTGAATCCGAATCCGAAGTCTGTTTCGCCAAATTCGAACCCGGTAAGCCATCTTTCACTGATTTATCACCCGATTTGATCCGTTTATCGCAATTAAGCTCCGTTTCTGATATAATTTATGTTGATATGTATCTGAGGAATTATTTGAAGTTGAATTGAAGATCAAAGGCATTCGAATGGAATTTTTATGGTCGATCGGTATTGCACGGAAATCGAGGTAATACTTTACTACCTCTTTATGCTTTATGGAACATGTTGATATTGGTAAATGCATGAATAAGATAATGTTGGTCACTTTTGTGGAGTTGAATAATTTATTCACTCGATATGAATGTGGTAGAAATTCTGTAACTGAATACGGATCGAATGACTAATATATGAGATTGAAAGATTGTTAGAATTAAATTACAATTTTGTGAATAGTGATAAAGAAATCAGACATGGATTTGTAAATTATATTTTATATCATCAAAGGATTAAATGTTAAAGGTACTTGGATGGGAAATTATGAGAATACTTCGGTATGGTAAAAATAGAAAATTACCCTTATATTGGAAAATGATAAGAATTGTCCCTGGAAGTGGACTAATAAATCTGAAACGACATATTGATACGATAAATATATTGATGTGCATAAGAAATGATAGTTATACTTAGAAATTATGGGTAACCGGTTTTTAACCCCAAGAGGGTTTATACAAGATACTAGAAGTGTGTTAAGGGAATTATTTCAAGATCAGAGAGTGTTCAAGAAAGCAATTAATCATAGGATCTCTAAATTATATTATTTTCGTTAAGAGCTAATATCGAACTTATCTGGTTAAGAAATTACGGAAATGCCCTTAAGAGGTAGAATAGTCTGAGATGACTCTGAATGAGAAAATACTTAGAGGATTCGTACTTAACTCGATTAAGTACAGATTTAATTGTTAAGATCCTGACTTAGTGCAGGAAAATTTATGATATTCCGTTTGTAAAGTCTGAGAAGACACTTGACCTGAAAATATTCAATAATGAGTAAATACTTGAAGAGTAATTTATCGGGGGTATTCTGCTATCAGAATTGTTCGAACGGACTGGAATAGATAATAAATTGGAATTAAATAATAAGACCGGATTGAGGAAAAAGGTTGAAATACCGTGAATCGGTAAAATGACCAAAATACCCCTGTAATAGAAATGACCCAAGAATATCACCAAGCTCAGGAATGATTGAATATCCTCGAGCTCTGAAATGAATGGAATAAAACTGAACATCAAAATTACCAAAATACCCTTATGGCCTAAATTAAGTAAATGTCTTGGATTAATTAAGGAATCCAAGTAAGATAAGTATTGGACTACCTTTAAAGGTAATGGAAACAATTCAAGTGAATAGATCAACCCTAAAGCTATGTCAATACCTGAATGACATAAATATTACTGGAACATGTGTTCATCTTCTCAAGTTTGGCTCGATG